AAAAGAAGAATTTAAATAGTTTGTGTTAAAATAAAACATAATTCAAGTGCAAATTATTGCGAAAAAAAACTGTTCATTTCAAATGTCGCAGGTACAATCACACTTTCATTTATCTTTTTACCATCAAGAGTAAGGCATAATGTCTACATTTTCGAAGCTTCGTTATTTTATTAAATTTATATATCTTAGTATTTACCAACAAAACAAAGTTTCATGTGGATACTCTTTTTTTTTTGTAAAACTACTAATTATTAATTAATAATATAGAACTTTTGTACCTTCTTATCATCAGTAAAATATACAGCAAATCTGTCAAATCATCTTTTACTTGCGTGTTCTAGGATGTATACTATTCTTATAATGATATAATATTATTCTCAGTGTCTAATAAAAGTCAAATTTCGTCTGATTTCAAATAAAATCATCAAACGTTGGATGATGAAATAGTACACTTCTTTCATTCTATATGAGAGGATATTTAATTACAGATGTAATCAGTTCATGAGATAAACGTATAGTCTTCCTTAGCATCGCGTGACAACTGAGACAAGAGATGAGAGAAGCAAGTAGACAGGAAGAACAATCACACGCCCTGTCAGAAGTCCGAGATGTGAGGAAGTTAATAGGGTATTAATAAAGCTTCATAAAAATGCGTAGACAGGAGTAGCACATCCTGCGAAATTATCTAATTATTCGTTTAATTTGATATTGCATTTATAGAGATGACATGAAAAAACAACATTATGCTTGTAGAAATGAAGTAAGAGCTTTAGTATATAAGAGAAAGGAGAATCTGAAAATTTCATTTGTATGCTACGAGTGAAATCGGAAAACAGCAGTAATTATAGCTAGCAGTAGGTACTGGATCCTGCAAGAGATGGTATTGCATTATGTTAGATAAGGATAGATGTACGCGTTTGAGTGAGATAGAATGGTAATATAAGAAACTGAATTTGGAGTTAAAAAGTATTATCATCAATTAAGTTCAACCGTCGTTCCAGCATCCCCTTAAAGACGCGTTCAAAAACATTATCCTCCGAGTATCATTTTATCTTTATTTAATTTTCGATGAATAACACGGATAAAATGAAACTTGGAGACGCTCTAATAATATTTTTTAACGCAACGTAAATCAGTTCAGTGACCGTAACAACTAATCGATTAATAACATTGATTGAAGATACGATATGTAGTAAGAAGATATAACAAAAAAGTAATTGAAAATATAATGGATTAAAGTTAGATTTGATATTATTGGAAAAGAGAGAGAATATGTAATGTATGTGATAAAAAATTTATCGAATAATTAATAAATCTAGTAGACTCTTAGCAGAGTCTCTTGTTTATTCTCAGAGATATGAATTTGATAGAGTCAAGAATTTAAATCGATTTTTAAAATATTGGCGACCTTTTTGAAGATATTGAAGCAAAACTCGTGTTAAACAATCAGAAAATTAGTAGAGAAGTTAAACATAAAAATATCTTACATAAAAAAAAAAAGAATAGAAATTGATCCAATCGAACGAAAAAGCTATAAATATGTTCAGGATACAAATTACAATTAAATATTTATATATCTCCCGTATATATTATATAGAAATGATATGTTTGAGCGTAATAAATCGATCGAATCTAGGTATTCTAGTTTATAGGGGGCTCCTTCGGTTTATTGGCTTTTGTGAATTACTCATTAATGACGATCATATCATTAACTAGGCTTAATTGCAGGAGCCTGCAGTGTTGGGATTCCAAGAGTCCCAATGTAATATTAATTTTTCAAAACGGTTTGTCTCATCTGTTCCATTAAAAGTGGATCATTTTGTGCTGTATAATATCGGTATCTTCGATTTTATTTCTTCGTGCTTTCACTAGTACGAACCCCCGACACCGGAAGGATTTCAAACGAAATACACGCTCGAATACAAATCGAAAAGGAAGTCATTCTTTACTTCGCGAGACTTCCTCCCTGTCGAAGCTCGAGCTCGAAGCGGAGAGGGAAGTAAAGGGAGTTCCAATCGTGCGACGGTTTCGATCGATAAAACGCGCACGGACGATGGTTTTATTAGAGTAAAAGTCTTTAACTCCCAAGTGTCAGGAAAGAGCGTCACGCGCCCCGCGTGTCAACGTTCATTAGTATGCTCGGCGAGGCGCCTCGTGTACCCCACCTTACTTCACGACACCCACGGAAACACAGGAGAACCTGCTAAACTGTCTCTCTCCGAGCTCTTGGCGAGGTGTCGCGGTCATAGTGACACGTGCTATGCGGATGTCGCATCCAGGAGCTACCATCCCCTTGGCGAGGCGCTACCCATGATTTAGGCTAATTATGCGCGACCGATGGCCAAGTAGGTTTCTCCTACCGGCTCACGTATCTCCGGGATACGCTCTATCGGGATACGCGATGTCTCGACATTATCATGTTATCGCAGACATGTTTCAATCCATAGAAATCTTCACGTAAGACCTGTTATCATCAGTTACCAGTACATGGTTTATCTAAAGATTAGTCTAAGGAAATTCATGAATGAATTTTATTATGACTTTTACTCTTTAGGTAAATCGTATATTGTGAAAATAGACATGAGAGAAAATAGACATTGGACATCACTCATTTGAATCGTCATGTTTCAGCTTGAAATAGAATGAGGTAGATATCCATGTATCTTATTTGATCGAATAAAGTCTCCACTTATTCGCTTATTTGTGTTAAATATTTTGATTGTTATAATAAATACTCCAATCACATCTTCGAGAAAGGGCTTGATGGGTACTCTGATATATTGTACATTGTGTCTATATATATTATGGCTGCTTATCGTGCGAAATACACGTGTACACGGATACGCATCCAGCGGATAGACGTGATAATTCCCTCATACGTGTAACTGTAGCTGTACATAGCATCTACGATATGTATGCGTACAGTATATACACGTATATGTACATATGTATATAGTACGTACAGCGAAATTACGCCGGTTGTACTAAATACCAATCCTTGACTGTGTGTATAATTATCTTGGCGTATCGGTAGACGGTCTTGTGTGCGGCTCTTCGCAGCTCAACGTCTACATGCTGCTTATATACTTGTACATACATACTTATATATATATATATATGTATGTATGTCATATATATCTCGACAATTTTAGTAAACTGAGCAGTTATCAGCGCAGAAGACGACTCCACACCTATGCATTTGCATAAGTGTCTGTCATCGTCTGTGTTCTACTGTATATTTCTACATGTATATTTAAGTACCGCAGTTGTACTCAACGCGTATCATCTTATACACGCTTTACTTGCGTTTAAGAAGAATGTGTGTTTTTTTTTCATAAGCTGGAAAAACTGAATGATCGACGCTGGAATGTGCAATTTTGATAAAAATACGCGGTAGCGAGTGTATACGACGCGATACGTAATTGGGCGATGTTTAAAGTCTCACAGGGTTCAGATACGTGTATGCGTACATGTGTATCGGGGATACAAAGTCGCAACTAGATTACGAGGGTTTGATAGCCTGCAGGCTCGAAGGGTCGCCCGTGGGATACAGTAGTGGCTTATCCTTCGACCATTTCTCTCTTCATTCCTCTTTCGTCACACGTATGAAATATAGAGGAACAATGACTATTTCGTATCATCGCCAGTGATACGTCCCCGACGACAGCGAGACGATAGTCACCGTTTGTTGTTGTCAACTGCCTCTTTTCCAGAAATTTCGGTCTACCCGGCGATAATATCCTGTCGCTGTCAAAAGCATTTCCGTCACTGCAAATACCTGCATAACAACGGAAATAACCTGAAATGCCTAAATCCAGAATCTTTAATCATTAATTCTTCATTTATTAATCATTATGGAATGTTGCACTTTGCGTCAGCAACTTGAGTCTTCGAGCTTTGATGTAGATTTATATCTCGAACTGTATAAAAATTTGAAAAAATACTTGTGATAACTTTAATAACTTTTTACTATCATAGAGGTTGAATTGTATTTCATTTACTTTTTGCAGATTTAAATCTATCTATCAAAATTCACACAATCAAAGTATTAATCTTAACCCTCCGTCAATGTTATTCTCCGTCCACAATCTGGATCTTCGAACTTTAATATAGACTTTTATATCATTCCAAACTTTATAAAAATCTGAAAAAATCCTTACTGATAAAGAAATTTAACGCGTTTTTATCATCAAGAAGTTAACTTTATTTTTTCACATAGATTTCTATCAGAATTCAAAATATCGGCTGTACTTTTAAAGTTTAACATGACTAGTGGAAAGTTAAGTTTTTTGCTCTTAGATTTGTGTGTATCGTGTGTGTATGATCTTAAATTCAAAATGTCTCTAAAAGTTTGGAAAGCCACGCGTGGCAGCAAAATAAGCGGTACAATGAAAAGAAAATAAGAGAAAAAGAAATGTTGATAATAAGATGATTACGGAGCAGATGAGTGTATAATTCTGTAACGTTTTATAGCCTTCATAACATTTTTACCGCATCCTGCGTGCATGCAATTAGCAAGTTAGCCACTGTGTAATCACGTGTGTCGTTAAAGCGTCTAAAGAAGCAGAGATTAACTTCAACATTAGCCATGTCCCGTTCGACAGACGAATCCTGTGTTTAAAACCAATTTAAACAGACAACTTGTTATTATACCACCGAAGTATACGCACCGCAACATCGCACATCGTAAAAAAAGATCGCGCGCGAAAAATTCACCGTGTTAAACGCCAATTTTACTATTATGTTTACTTGGCACTAGACGCTTATACTTCTCTCAATTCTGTACGAGTTTCTTTTCTGAATAATCCATAGTTCAACTGTTCTATGAAAAGCTTGTGACGCGAAAATGAATAATAATCTCACAACAAAATTCACGTAATTGATTCTTCAGGAATGGTGGTCCAATCTCTTATTTGAGCATCACTAACGCGAGCTTGATTCCCATGATCCCTGCGAGGTAGACGAACTACAATGCGAAATATGGTTTTGTTTTGTTGCAGGTGTCGGCGGGGCAACATTTACAGGTCACGAGCGAGCTGAAACCGGTCGTGTCTGTCGCGGCGCAGCAGGGCATGTACTTCAACCAGCAGCAGACGCAGAATCAGGCTGGGCCATCGGCTAATCAGGCCGACGCCTACTGCTCGGTCTCGCAGTCCCAAACCATCAATTTCACTCAGCAGAGCCTAAGGCAGCGGGCGACGGCCGCAGCCGCCGGCGGAATGCCGCAGCCGGGTGCTGCTGGCCCAGGGACTCGAGGCCATCCGCAGCAGGTGCCGCCGGGCCAGGTCGATCAGCATCAGCATGCGAAGCTTCTTCAACAGCAGCAGCAATTGATGCGCGCGCAACAGGTAAGCCAACCTGATTGTCTTCATTCCAATAAATTTGTGTACCTTGTGAGATACTCGTGAGCTCTCGTTTCCCTATACAGCACCAACTATTCTAGCAATATTGCAACAATATCGCAATAACATTGCTGCAAGTTTGTGTGCTGCATATGACACGTGTCTGAGCAATTTCACAATCGATACAAATGACCTCCATCCGGATTTTTATATGCATCGTAGATACGAATTTATTTTCATGATAAGTACGTAAATTACACATTCAATTCTCATTCGTATCGAATTGTTCTACGTTGTAGTAACAATTACACGTGCAACGTTTATCTTTATGCGATTATTATCGCATCTTCCATGCGTTTTCATACCTTCATACATCCCGGTTGATATCGTTCGCGCTCGAGAATCGCGATTCCGAGCTGTTACACCGATATGGTCCTCCGGAACGAAAGCTTTCGCTGTGACGATCGTCTATGCAGGTAAGATAATCGCGAGATCGCGGCGCGATGGCACATTATCCGAGACATTAAACTCGTATCCGGCGAGAGTGGAAGAGAAGGAGAAAGAGAGAGATATGAGAAAGAGCCCGTGACGTCCGTATGCAACAGGTACCGCTACTAGGTCTTTTGCAACTTCTGTCCCGTCGTGTTGAAAGAAACGACACAAATAGGACAAATAGCGCGAGCACGATGGGGAACACGGGGGCTTTCTCCGAGACGGGAACAATGGACGAAAAAGTTTTTGCGCCTCAGAGTTTCCTGTGGGAGAACCTGTGATGTCGAGGGAAGCAGGATCGGCAAATTAGCGTTCTCAGCGATTACTTCACGCGAGATTAAGCGTCGTCGATACGTACGCTTTTGTTCGTGATGATTCTTCGTCGCCTTGTCGGTCTTAAAGGCGACAAACTCTTGACGACGTTAAACGTATAATTTAGCACGCTTATTCTGCACGCAAAGAATATCGCAGCAAGCGACAATGTAATTTGTCGGTCTCTTCACACTCGGAGAAAACATAGTGGTAGTAAAGGCAACTATACTTGTTTTATATTATGTAAAATTAATGTACGTAGAACGAATAAACTGTTTTATATAATCGAGTATATAATAATTGCGAAATATTTTATTCAATTATGTATATTAATTTAATATATAACATTGTATATGTTGTCACTTATCTGTATTTTGGTACTACTATATCTTTTTCTCTAATTGCAAGCATACATTCTTTTTGATTTTTTTTTCTTTCATTTAAATATTTTTTAACGAGAAGGAAATTGGGAATTATCTTTCCTTAAAGAGAATTTGATAGAAGACCTTTTTTTAACGACTCTTTAATGCTGCATCGTGAAAACTTTCAATCAAACTCTTCGATCAAAGAACCAGGATTTGATATAATAGGGAAGTCAGTCTTAAACTTTTAAACTGATTTAAATTAGATGAAGTAATTTTTTGTTGCGCTCGTATCGCACGATTTAATTCATCTTTGTTGGTTATTGCAAGAATCACGATGCTCGCGCAAAACGGTCATTGTGCGATTAAACAATGTCGTCAGGAAGTCAATTTAGCAATTGTCAGTGTTTGCTGTTATTTATATAAAATTATTTAGATAATTTTCTAGGTGAAGAAATTGTTTTATTTTATTATTATTGATATAACTAATAAAATATTATCTAGAATATGTATTATCTCCACCTTTATTTTAGATAAATGAAGGTAACACTTCGTTTATCTTTTTCAAATTATCTTAATGTATATTGAGTTTAGTATACACTTCCCAATATAGGATTTTTAAACATCTCTTTTTATGAATCGGATGTTTAATATTGTTAGATCAATATTGTCCCAAATTTATAATTCTGAACATTAGCTTGTGTATCAACGTTATCATCTAGTTTAAAAAATATATATATTTTCAATATTGAAGTATATTTTTATATTTAAAAATCTAAATCTAAAGAATTAGATTTTTATTTTTATCCATATTTTTATCAAATTTTTTTTATTTTTATCGACTAAAGTTAGATCGATATATTTTTTTTGTTGCACCTCAAACAAATCTATATAATTTTATTTCTTTAAACAAACAATTTATGATTGTATAATAATTAATATATTATTAGAAAACTAAATTTTTAATTTTTCAAGTCTTACTTTTTTATATTTATAATAGTTTATTTACATATTCATAATATTTCGTCATCAGACACGTTCACGTTTGGGAAATAATAAGACGAAAATAAAAATTTTTAAATTATGTTTTGAGGTCAGTGTTTTTTTTTTTATATAATAAGCTTTATGGGATTATGCTCTCAAAATGAGTTTTTTTATGACGTACTAATGAACAAAATTTAACACAGAATCAGAAAATGGTATTAATAATCTTTTAATATAAAAACTGTAATGTGCTGGATAATATGATGGAGTAATATGATGCATATAAACTTTTTCTAAAATGAAATAATTTTACGTATTACGCGGTGAAAATATTATTAAATCTATCATACATGATAGACCAGATATTCAGCTTTAATTTTATCCTTTCTCTTATTGCATTTAAAACATTTTTCGTAAATATTCTACTTTTCCTTAGATACACCGCATTCCCCCCATTCTTCTCTTTCATACAAAAATCGTTTGTCAAATGTAATATTTGTAATAATTGTATCTAATTTTTAAAAAATATAAAGATTTATACGATAAATGAAAATATGGAGATGTGTGTGTGTGTGTGTGTGTGTGTGTGTGTGTGTGTGTGTGTGTGTATTTCTACAATATATATTCTAAATTGTTTTGCTAAAAAGTGATATTATCTTAAAATTATATAGATGAAACACTTTATAATTCCATTTTTTATCTAGATAAATTTAAAATAAAGTTATCTTATCTAAGGTAGGTTTATGTATAATTTATCTTATCCTTATCTACATAATTTTTTTTATCTAAGTGCAACACTGGCAATTGCAAAATTGCGTACACGAAGCTACTCGAGATCTCGTAAAGTTTGCGTGGTCGCATCGGCGAATGACTCAGTCCGCAACGGCCCGATTGTTATCTCGATAATACTAAGGTACCAAAGACGACGATGCTCGTGCTCCAGTTACTAATTGTACGTTTCATGCAATTGGTTAGTCATCCTGTTCAGTCGGGGATAAGCTTAAGGCGATAAAACGGTGCATCATCCAGAACGACGCGCAGCTAGCCCAATGATTTTATCGAGTGAGGAGTGCTCGGCCAATATTAGTATGCGCGAATCGATTGCTTTCTTTCAAAACACATTTTTGCATATGTACACATGTAATTGATTAATAACAGATAGAACGGTCTCAATGAATTGAAGAAACATAATTCTTTCGACTGATTCTTGAATCGCTTTACCTTGAACTATAGCCCTTATCAGTATACTTCTACATATCGCTCATTTGCTACAACAACGACACCACAAACTCAGAGAACAAAATTTTCCAGAAAATAAAAATTCAATGTTTTAAATTATTAAAATTTGTTATATTAATTTTAATAATTATTAAATTTTAATAATTTAAAACAT